GGGTGGGCGGTAAAGGGCAGGTGGAGGAAGAGTGCTTCTGCAACTCACTATGGCGCTCGCAAAACGACTCTTGGAAGCAGCCCAAGAAAAGTCGTGTTGAAAATAAACCTTTATGGTAAGATTGTAGTATTACGCATATTTCAACTCTGTAATATACAAAACGTATGTATAATAATGATTTTTCTAAATTTATGGATTCTAAAATGACTATTCGACTTTGCGACTAAGATATTTTAATAACGGTAGATGAAATATTTTTATTGATAAACAACTTATTTACAAAAAACCTCTTTAAATTTGGAATTCAGTAAAAATACGTAAATATAAAATTCGTTCTACGTAAATGTCAATAGAATTAATGTTTGGCTTCCGTAGAAAGTCGTGTTTGTGAAAGGTTGTTTCAGAACTAGAACAATTATAGAATAATTATAAAACAATTATAAAGTACGCCAATTGCTAGAACAATTATAAAACAATCCAAAAAATTGGTACTAATGAACATTGAATTGCTTACAAATATTTCAATAGAATTAAGAATGGAATTTACGCAATTAAAAGCGAATGTAAAAATTCACTTTTACGTTAGTTTCGTTTCGCATTTTCAATGGTGATTAAGGTTGCAACCAGGTATCACTATATTTAGTGATTAAATTGTTTGACGATGTTATCATTTAAAATAAAAAATATACTTAAAATTAACGCTATCACAAACCTGTCACCCAAAAGAAAGGAAATTATTCGCTTGAAGGGTGTTTTAGAAAAAGTGCAATACCGCCGAGGTCAGATATCGGGGGTCAAAAGAAGCAGTTATTGTAATAAAACCCTGAAAATCAATGAGCTTGGCGATAATCTGTGTGAAAAAGCACGTTTATCCCCATCTAAGGTGGGCATACATGAGGCACTCGCGTCTTACAGGTGGCCACTATTTCTCAACAAGAATAATTGTTTAACTGAGACTTAAAGTGAATAAAAAGAGTAGCACTGAAAGCTTGATTTATTTTGCAACACGTATGTGTCCTCTTTCTACAATTTGAGGCTCTTTGTCGACTCTCACTGCAACTTTTCTTGCCTTAAGTTCTTCCTTACCCCTTCATATATGTGGGTCGGAGTAAAAGAGGGGATGTAATTAAAACTCTTCAATTTCTATAATACAGAGATAATTCATTCCATTTTCTCTTTGGCCGATATCTCTGATAAATAAATGCATGGTAAACGTCGGATACTTCAGTTACTAACACAGTTTGATAAAAGAATATTCCATTTGTATACACATGAGACTCTTTATATCTACATTATGAACTACATTAATTAACCACAAGGAGCCAAGTCTTGTGTGATCAAATTATGACAACAGAGGAATTGTCCTTTGAGTAATATAGAAGGCAAGCAGTAATTTCCGAATTCTAGCTCTCCATAAATTATCATTATCAATATGCATGTCAATTGGCAGGTGACAAACTTATTTCACTACTGAATGGGCGTGTAGAGCTGTCAACAAAATAAGCATAATTACAGTTAAACTATATATCTTTGATCTTAATTTAAGTTTAAATAGCTTTGGGTAAAACGTGTTTTGGACTTCAACAATTTTACACTGTTGAAATCTATCTAAATAATAAATACTTCATCTTCTAGAGATCCAATTTCAAGAAGAACCATTTTCCATTTTAGTATACACCTTACGACTATTATAAAAAGAACGTTGACAGTATTCGGAAGTAAATATGATCATATATCTAGTAAAATACGAGGCGACCCCGACGAAATGTACCAATTTTGTCGAGACTTGCAAGATCATAAAACATTTTACATGCAACTGGAATGTTCATCGCATAACATTGAAATAGTCATGGATATAAAGATTTTAACTGCAGCAGACTTACACGCGCTGTGCAAAGCAATACATCTAAACGTGTTATTCATTTATTTGTAATGTAAAAATATTGAAATACAAATAATACTTGACCTTTATGCTGAAAGGAGAACGAGCTCCCCGTACTTCTATTCAAAAGAAAATTTAATAACATAGATTGTAAAATGTAGAAAGTTGTTTCTGAAGATCACTTATTAATTCTAACACATAAGCTTTGGTCTTATGTGTTTCTCTCTGTCTTTCAACGACATATTCCTCAAGGGTCAACCCATGTATGTCATTTATATTATTATGTAATGTTATGTTTATACACGTTAGATCTACTTTTAGCTTGATCAATTATTTAAATAGTTGATTCAGCATATATTCGGCAACGATTCAATTAAACATAGAAATGAGTGAAACGTAGTTTATTTGATATGATTATGTATTGTTTTGAGTTGCACGTGTTAAACCCTTACTGGTATCGCGCTAAGAACTGGTGGATATCGAATTCAAAATTAAATAAAATTTAAAATTAAATACAGATGAAGTTTTAGAAAACAAAATATCCGAAACCTCTGGAGTAATTTAAATTACGTTTTATTAAGAAACAAATATATGAATTTGGTAAAAAAAAAATATTTTTGATATTTTACGCAACAGGATTATGGAACGAATATATTGTGACATAGGGAAGAATATGAAGTGAAAAATATTGGCATATAATTTCATGTGCCCTCACTAATCATCAAGATAAAAATGTTTGGAGGACAGTTATTATAATTTTGTCGATAATTTCATTTGTTTTTGACATTTCTTTTCTCTTTTATTTCATTTATTTTTTCTTGGCCCGAAGGCTCTGAGCAGCCGAGTATGATACTAGAAAGTACAAGGAATTTTATTAGCCTTGTTTTAAGGAACATTATTCACAAATGAATACATTGAGTGCGTGGATTGAATTTCGCCTAAAACAATAAGTAAATTTCTCGCAATAGAAAGGAAATGTCTGTATTAGCCAATTTTTCCTAAATAAATAATGTCCATTAATGTTGCAATACGCTATATTACAAAACCCGGCGTCAAAGCACATCGTAATGAAAAGAAATTTGCTCTCCTAGCGTTGTACCGACATCATTTAGCGCTCATCAAGCATTGCACTGACTCTGCTGTGACATTGCCGAGAGATACCAGGGTGCGAGTACCGACGGTGCAGAGTATTAGGAATTCTCTCTATATTATAGAAATTGAAGAGTTTTACTTACATCCCCTCCTTTTTCCCGACCCACATCTATGAAGGGGTATTATTACTATTAGAGACACTTACTACAAAATAATGAATTATTCTTTCATTTAAACAAATATCGTAGTATTCGGTTCAAACAACTTAACATACTGTTTTTATTTTTGTTATTAATGAGGAATTAATATAAAACCAAAATATATTTATTACAAAATTAATTGATATAGTTTCCCTTTAAAAATGAATTATTCTTTAATTTGACCAAATTTAGCAGTTGTCCCTTTCAACTTCTTAACATTATTTATTTATTAATTATTAATGGTAAATTATTATAAAAGCAAAATATATTTATTTCAACATCTATTGATGTAGTTTTCATCTTTTAAATTTTTCAACTTTTGTAATTTGAACAAATTTTGCTGAATTAAATTTGCTGTAGTCATTCGCGGCAAATCGCGTGGCCCGCGCCGGGCGCGAAGAGCCGCGCCACGTAGTTCCGCGCAGCGCCGCTCACCGGTGGCGGCGTCGCGGGCGTCGTGCTGCAGCGCCTCCAGATGGCGCGAGAGGGCGGGCAGGCGCAGGCGCAGCAGGTCGCGGAACACCGCCATGTCCACCGACAGCCCGCGCAGGTTGTTGGCGAAGTAGCTCTCCGGCAGCACGCCCTCGATCAGGTAGATCATCACCTGCCAAACACGTTTCGACATGAGAAGTTTGTGGGGGGGGGGATCTCATAGGGCGTCAAAAAAAAAGTTTCTTTAACATCTGGTCCTTCACCACACTAACCCACAGTCTCATTCACTTTCTCACTGTTTCCTTCTCTAGATTTATCTTTGTATACTGTTCCTGCCTTACACGTTCAGCACCTTTTATACATTATCCAACGACTTTTAATAATATACTTTCATACTATATACAACAATTTTACACAACTGAAGATGTTATTTGCACAGAACTATATTGATTAACAATCCTTTGTTGAATAATGTAGGTAAGTTTTAGGAAACTACTTAGATGAGACAATAAATTACTGATTCCAATAATCGCAGATACATTGAAACTTAAGAAACGTGCGTATACTCTCAGAAATATTTCAGTGTGTATTTAAAAAAATATTTTCTATTAATACATTTATATGAATGTGCAAGAGAAGCAATAAAATTATATCTAAGAAACTTTGTGGACACAGATCGTTCACTAAATGTTTTATAATATATTTAATTTTTCCTTGAACCAATGCTAATTATTGATAAATTAAAAGTAAACAACATTTTCCATAATATACACAATGTCTAATAAATGTTAGAAACTTGTCGGGCATGCAGATTAGTCAAAGATCACTTTGTGCTAATAAACATGTGATGGGAATTCTCACATAACGAAATTATACATATGAAATTTGTCTCTGATTGATGGTCCACTTTCCTTGCACCTGTGTTTGGCAAGTACACAAAATATTTTTACTGTATCAAAACGTATAGCTGAGGTTCAAGAGGAAAATGTCACACGTGTAACTTCATTATATGACTTTTTCACCACCTGTTCATTCGTACAAATTTATCATATTCCATCCCCCTGCATCTCCTACAAGTTCATAACAATTATTCTGAGATTCTATATTTTCCTATATCAGAATATTACTTTATATACTACAAATTGGCAATATTCTACTGTGAAATTAAGGAGCCAATATTTTTATTTCCATTACATGTAGATTGAAGCAATGAACTGGTGAAGCATAAAAATCGTTCATTGAAAAATTGCAAACATAAAACTGATTTAATGAGGGAAGCATGTATCCACACTGAAGATATTTTTACACATAATAATTATCATTATAATAATTAAAAATAAAATTAATAATCCTTATGTAAAACTATTGTTATCAAAGAAGTAACGTTTTAATAGAACTGGACCGAAGTCTAATATCATTAAATAATCTCTCTCTCAAGTTCATTAACAGATCCACTCAAAAATATCATTAGTAAGTACAAACTAGCCATCAAATAAAAGAGACGTATTTGCAGGTAAAAAATCCAAAAACAGTCATATTGTGAGTAAGAACTCCAACTGTAATCTGCCAAATCATCAGAGCGAGTTCGTTTCCTGATATTATCTACTCAGACTTTAAATAATTAATCAATGATTATGCTATCGCGAGGTACATCGATCGATCTCGACACTTTTCTGTAATGACCTATGTACAACAGACCAAACCACAGTTTAAAATTACAAAATCTTACGCCCCATATCTAGACTTTGTATATTGTAAGTGCCGAAGTCACACGTGTCTTTTAGAAGGGCTAATTCACTCCGGGATGGGCACCTAGGCGTTAGCCTCTATCCACACCGCCGCCAACGCAGAAGTAACAGGCTGGTATCTGGGTCTCGCCATAATGCAGTTCACCCTCTCCGAAACCTTCCCATTCAATGCCTGGGTCCGGCCACCGTGCCAGCTGAGGACTACTGGCTTTCCAGGCCGGTGCCGGAGTGGAAACAATGCGTCAGTCACAATGAATTGAATTGAATTGAATTTGCCTTATTTTACGTGGCGAGACTCGGGCCATCAGGCCCGCTCTTCCGTCTGACCACGCAAATTTCGCTATTCTCCTTTCACTAACTAGCAGAGGAAGGAGGTATTTCTTGGGCGAGAAACAGGCGATTTGAATTTAGCTCAGAGGCGTCATTTAGGCTTGAGGATCTTTTACATGCAAGTAAATCTACGAACATGGGACAGCCGGCTTTACTTCCCCTCCGAAGGAAGGCGTACGAAGGATTTTTTCGCCCTTAAAAATCCACGGCTTCGATCGGGTTTGAACCCGCCAACTTGGGTACAACAGTCCAGTACGCTAACCGTTACACCATCGCCATCGCAATGCGCCGGGAACAGTCCGTTCTCTAGAGCCGGAGAACCGGTCCTCCGTAACGACGAATCCGAGAGCCCAACAAGAGGCCACCCGAACTAAGGTTCAGGTGGCTGGGGCCCCCTTCCCGTCTCCTCATTGCAATCATCTTTATACTATCGACGTGAGTACCGCCGGAACCTAGGCAACATGTGAGGGTGGTCCCCGATTAGTCTTTTATATACGAGATCCGGGTCATTCCGAAGAAGCCCTTCCTGCCCAAAGATCGACGCGACATGGATGCAACTGGTGAGTTACAGAACGAGCCCGGCAACACGGAGCTAAGAATCGCCTACTCACTGCCTCCACCTTGAAGCTATCGACGTGAGTACCACCGGAACCTAGGCAACCTGACAAGGGGGGATCATGATCCCCGTCTGGACTTGCGTGGGATCCGGAGCGTTCCGAAGAACGTCCTTTGCCATAAGGTCGACGCGTCAGGGGACCGACTGATGCGTTGCCGGTTTAATACGGCAACACGGAGCTTAGCATCACCAACTCACTGCCTCTACCTTCACACTAACGACGTGAGTGCCGCAATGAAATTCAGGGTCCGAGTGGTTTCTACGAGAAACCATGACCGCCTTTGCGCTCATGATTCTCCGCTGGGCAGAGATGTCGTGTATTGGACGCGCAGCGCTGTGTGGCAAAATGCCGCGCTCATGAGCTGGGCGCATCGGGCGCAGAGCGAGCCGCCAGCGCCAATATCGGCGCGTGTATTTGCGCTGCGATGTTTTCCGTGTTTGCCGACCAGCAACTGCATTGCCCGCGTCCGGCGCGCCGCCCGTCACGGCTAACGACTGCACCGCGAAACGAGACGGGCAAATTGCCTCGCTCGAAACCCGCGCACTTATTGATCGACAGGTGCACCCGGCGGTTAATTAGAGGCGATTAGCGGTTCGGAGGGTGCCGACGGGGAGGGCGTGATTTCGGCGGCAATGGACCTTCAAAGCGCTCTTCATTAGGAATTTCATTAAAGCCGCGCCGCCGACGTGAATATTTTAATGTGATTGCGGAACTAATATTTCGTTAAAGACCGCGCGCCGAAGTAGAGTCGAAATTTCATTAAATATGTGTCGTCGTGAATGTGTTAATTGGTTGGTAAAATTAATATTTCTTTAAAGACGTGTTCAAAATTAGGGTAGTGGAACGTCGCTTATTCATGTTTCTATCACATGAATTCTTCAAAATATTAATGACATTCTTAGACAAGTTATTGTTCATAGTTTTTTTGCCAATGTGTTCGAGTCTTATTCCTTAATGTAACCCTGTTCCAGTTTAATATCGTGATTTAATTTCACGGTAGTAGATTCTTTTAATTTATGAAACTTTGTGTGATCTTTCTTTGGATGAGGAGAGATCTTTGAAGTGTCTTCAATAACGCAATAATATTATGAAAAAATTAAGGATTTAAACACTCTGCCGAGGAGATGGTTCGGGAATAAATAATTTGTTACAAGTTAATCGTGGAGGTCAAAGCTTCGCTACCCCATTGGTCGGGCAAAGCAAAGTATTAATTGGAACTTTAAGTGTTTGTTCCTTGTCTTTCGTGTGTGTTGTCGTGGAGACATCGCGTTCTGCCAAGTGTGTTGGTGTCTAGTGTATGGTCGAATATGCGTCCCATCGAGTCGAAGAGGGTAATCGGCGGTCGGCTGGAAAAGTCGATAGGAAAAAACAAAAAAATACATGTACATTTGAGTTTATAATAAAAATATTTTTATAATTAGTTCCGTATATGCATTTCATATGTGGAGTCTAATCAAAAATTTCTAATGCGTTACGTTGTATTAGGTAAAACGTCATTCAATATTCAGATATTCGTTTGATGTTTACAATGAATCTTCTAATGAATGATAAATACTACTTAATTGAATTTGATAATATGCATTGTCATTTTTCACTATTTACTGCACTTTTATCTAATATCAGCATGCTCATAACTAATTTCGTTTTGTATTACCATCTAATTCTTCCACGAGAACACGCTACATGGGGCGTTTCTGAGCCTTCCAATTACAGAAAATAGCCTTTCAGCTCGCTAATTTGTCTTCACCGCAGTGTACACAATCTTTATTAGTATCAAAATGATTGCAATTGCTGACACAACCTGCGTGTTTCGAGATCCATATTACATTGATGAAAAATGATTTTGCTTCGGGTTGCGTGTAAAGCCAATCTTGACCCCGAAAGGGTGTTCTAACAGATTACGGTAACCTATTTCACGTCTTTACTACCACGCAACTCTCTAACAGACATGTTTACCATTAAATTTCATTGTTTCTGACTCCAGATAAGATCTGTATGAAATCAAGGTCCCTTCAAGCATGATGAAATGTTTTTACTATTTAAGCAATTTAAAAAAACGCCGTAAGAACACAATGAGAACATACATATTTGAATAGCGACATTGTCCCATCAATATATTTTCGTCATTTGACTCAGTACGTTTCTACGAGGATTATATCTTCTAAACTCTGAGAGTTCACAATGTTGAGTTAGTGCTGAAAATTGTCTTGCCCATCACGAACGATCTACGTAAAATCCTGATTTTTGCGTAAATTCCTAGGAATTTTGTAAGATGTCGATCCTATCATGTTCTTGTGAGCAAAATCTAAATAATCATTCATAATATGAACAATAAATGTCTCTTTAAATAAAAGCAACAAATAACACTAAATATGTGATGTAATACTCGTAACATTAATTTTGAAAAAGTTGAAAATTATTGTAAAGTAAACTAGACTTTAAAGAGAAATGAAATTTGGTCGTATTTTTCCCGAAACCACATCAAAGGTAAGCAGATCATCCTCTCATGTTAGTACTTAAAGGGGAGATCGTATTTTGATACATATTCCTTCCAAAAATATTCACTCCAATACATACATAACGTGTTAACAAATGTATAATAAGGTATTTAAATATATTAGTAAATCGCTTCAAGCACAAATATTTCAGAATAATTTTTTCAACTTAGATTTTCATTAAGGGATTGCTTAATTATAATGTTAATAACTGAGAAGGTTGTTTCCTATTTCACTCGCAAATCAATACTACCTATTTATTTTGTCGATAATTAGTAGCAATTTGATGTGTTTCGAACTCAAAATACGTGAAACAGCCATAGAAAACGAAAGTTCAAATACTAAATAAAATTAGCAGCTTAAAGTATTCCTCCCATCTGCTGTAGTCATAAGAATAGTCATCACTAATTTTTAAATATTAAGGTATAACTCATTATTACAAAAAAGTAAGTTTTTCACATATATATTATTATGAATTATAATTTTCACAAACAAAAAAATAAAACTAATCAAGCATTACATAAGGTAACTATCTCAAAGAAACTTCAAATTCAATTATTTTAATGCAAACTCAAATTTCCCGCTTGGAATGTTAATTTTTCTCATTGGGCGGAATTGAGCGGATTTTCATCCCTCTAACGGCGGATGTTTGTACGAAGCATCTAACAACCTTGCCTACAGTGTGTGTTAAGTAGTGAAGTTTAATGGTACAGGATGTCAACTTAAACTCTGAGCTCGTGCGAAAGCCGCGGCACGTGACTTGCTGACAATGCACTCCGCCTACGCCAACAATTCAGGCTTCTACACAACACGTCGGGAGTTATTTATTAAAATTGTTTTATGTGATTCATTTGTCTCAATATAGATTACTAATACGTTATTGTGTGTGTGGTTACTGTATATTGTATACTTCAATACATCACACAGAAAAAAACCACAGGGCAACATTACATCAACAGATCTCGCCGGCCTCAGACTAATTGTTATTCTTCCTTGAATCTCCGATAGTTCACAAAATCGCTACAAAAATTATTGCTTTAAAGTAATATGTGGCCAATGCGATTAATTAACAAATGTTATGTACTTTCGAAGTGATTCAGTGCACACACATTGCAATCACAAATTTATTTCTGCTCATTTGTGATTTCAATAACAACTCAACCATTCCGTTCGCTGTTAACTACTGTGGGGGAATAGGGAATATTGATAATCAGCATAAAAAAGGAAGCTGGGACGTTTCTGTGTCGAAAGTAATCAAAACTCCGGCAAAGAAACGGCCGGCCCGCCGGGTCAGGGGAACGCCCAGGCAATTGAGAGCTCGATCTCCCAGGACTCTCAAGGTCGAACATCGTACTGTTGATAAGTACACGGACTGAGCAATAAGATACATTGCAAATCACAAGCAATACAAAAAGAGTATCACGATACTGAACTATGTATTAATTTAACTTCTAATTACCCAGTTCGGGGTCTGGGGGCTTGAGTCAGCCGGGGAGATACCTGGTTGAGGAAATCGATGTATGTCGGCGCCGGATCTTGTACATTAACAGAGAAGATCACTGCCACCTCCCGCGATAAAATATTATGACACTATACTTAACGGGACCAATGACCTTGGCCGCCTGCGCAGGCGAGTGGCTGGCGAAGCGCGTCGGTACCTTGACGGCGTCGGCCTCCCGCCGGTCCACCACCTGCAGGATGAGGGCGGCGAGCATGTTGAAGCCCTGGCAGTAGCCCACGGCCTTGTTCCAGCGCGCATACGCCAGCAGCACGCGCTTGAGCAGCGCCTGGTTGCGCTCGGCGTCGGCGCCGCAGAAGAGCGAGCAGCCCGTGCGGTGCAGGTCCTTGACGATCTGCACGCCCAGCTCCTCGTCGTCCGGGTTGCTCCACTCGTTGAAGCAGCAGCGCTCCGCCTGCGCCCAGTTGACGCCGCGCTGCTGCAGGTGAGTCTCCGCCAGCGTCAGCCACAGCTGCCAACAGGACACACGCGAGTTGCTTACTTTGCTTATGATGACTCGACATTCTTGCTTTTACTTTAATGCAACATAAAAAACATTTAGTTATACCAGGAACAGTGTTTGAAATTTATTTATCCTTATTCGGATTTTCAAGATTTTCAATCATACGTAATGTTTCCACACAAAGTTGCTTTGCATAATTTAAAAAAAACTACCTTATGATGACTCGACATTCTTGTTTGAACGCGAATAATTTATTGCAACATAAAAACCTTTGTTTTAACACAAAAAATGTTTTCAAAATGTATTAATCCTCATTCGGCCTGTTGGTCTTCTCAAGATTTTCAATCATATATAATGTTTCCACACAAAGTTGCTTTCCTTATGTATCAAAAAAAATTCCTTATGATGACTCGACATTCCTGCTTTAACATTAATGCAACATAAAAAACATTTATTTTAACACAGAAACTGTTTTCAAAATGTATTAATTCGTATTCGGCCTGTTGGTCTTTTCAAGATTTTTAATCATACATAATGTTTCCACACAAAGTTGCTTTGCATACTTTAACAAAAAAATTCCTTATGATGACTCGATATTCTTGCTTTAACTTTATTGCAACATAAAAACATTTATTTTAACACAGAAACTGTTTTTAAAATTAATTAATCCTTCGGCCTGTTAGGCTTTTCAGCATTTTCAATCATACATAATGTTTCCACACAAAGTTGCTTTCCTTACTTTTAAAAAAAAATCCTTATGATGACTCGATATTCTTGCTTTAACGCGAATAATTTATTGAAAAAATAAAACATTTAGCACAGAAACTGTTTTTAAAATGTATTAATTCGTATTCGGCCTGTTAGGTTTTTAAGATTTTCAATCATACATAATGTTTCCACACGAAGTTGCTTTGCATACTTTTAAAAAAATCATTATGATGACTCGATATTCTTGCTTTAGCAAGAATACTTAATGTCAACATAAAAACCTTTGTTTTAACGCTGAAATTTAAAAAAAAAATATTAATCCTTGTTGGCCTGTTAGATCTTCCAAGGTTTTCAATCATATATCACAATCAGAAAAACCTTCACTGAACACAAAAACCATTATTAAATACAAAATCCTTCATTTAACACAAAATTCTTCATTAACACAAAAACTATCATTTAACACAGAAAACTTCGTTTAACACAACAATTTTCATTAGATACAAAAACTTTATATTAAAAAATAGTACTATAACATCAATTTTTTTAAATCGACTTACAAGAAAAGAATTTATTTAAACCAAAAAGGCATGAATGCTTAAACTAAACAATAAACACAATCACTTGGTTTTTATTTAAATGCCATTTTTACGCATCCCTTCAGCATGTCTGATATCACCTCATATAGTCTACAGTGACACTGTTAGCACTTGTTGATTAATTCGACCCTGTGGTATTAATAATGAGCTTCATTGCTGCAAATGAGCGTAAGCTTGGGTTGGAACAGTTCGCATTTTTGGCCATAACTGAGGCTCGGAAATACTCTAAATTGGGTATGATATCATCGATTTTTAAACACTTTTAAAAGCGTTTTAATATCCATTTCACTTTAATTTTTTATTAGATTATACGGATGTAGAAAATTGCCAGTTTTCCAACAGTAGACCGAGACACTTCGAATGATACTTCGCTCCAAACGGTAGATCAAAAAGGGTTTATTGTGTCCAATTCCCCATACTCATATGTCTCATTCCCCATACCTGCAAGACTTACCCCATTGCTCTATAAAATCTCCATCAAGAATTAGAGATTTGGCTTACGGCGTACAAGCTGTGAATCCTCAGAGGCTTTTTGTGGAAAATGGTGTGGAATAAGGAACTAAAACTATATTATCATTTGTCTTGCCTCTCAAATAGGGTTATCACTTGATATTTTATGAATTCTGAGGCTGAAAAGTAACTAATGGTGTTTGGAAGAGTGTTTTTCTCCCATCCTTCTCGCATCCATCCCGTGTTAATGACGTCTGAAACCACAATCTTGTGAATTAGAGAAGGTGCTCTGTAATAATGGTAGAATGAACATAACAGTATGAGGTGAATGTTTACAAAATGAATTCGGGAAGAGTCTTAAGACAGATGTTGACTTAAACACCCCTATTTGTCTTAAAATAGAGTTGAGAAAGATTTATAAAATTATTATATATCTCGATAAGGTCCCATTAGCAATTCGGCAAAATGTGCAATGTGACTCCCTCTCTCAATATCTCTCTTTACATACATCTCTTTATGTGTGTGTGTGTGTGTGTGTGTGTGATGGCGTATGTGTTTGAAATGTACAAAAATATTAAAAAAGAATTAATGACATTTATCTCGAATTACAGTAATACTGATATTAGTTTCTCCTACTATTGCTAAATAATATTATATTTTCGTGGTTTAAGCACGGGCAATAAAATGTAATTGCAAATTGTACCGATGTCGCTCTCAATACCAATTCAGGGGCGCATTCATAAATTGTAGAGATGTTTCAATCGATAATAATACTTTTATTTGCTAGACCTTTATGAAATACAAACTTTAAAGTTCATTTTAAGCTAATATTATTCATCTATGTGCATATGTAGGATGAGGGAATTCTGAGAAAACTTTGACACCTTTCAAGTAATTTACACTTACTGATGGTTAATGCAACTTTAAAGAATAGTAGTAAAAGAAATCGGATGCAATTTGCCATTTCTGAAATCAGACTTAACGAGCCCTAAAAGCATATGTCAAACTTCGTTTCAACGAAGTTTGATTGCGAGATTTCACCTGACACACACCATTTATGAAAATGTTACTCAGGAAGAATTATCGTCAAAACTATACTCGTTACTATACATTAGTGTAACCATTTCTGTAACGGAAACAAAACGCCGATGGAAAAATTGACTGAGTGAAAAATCTGACTCTCCATCGTCAAAAATCTGAACAGGGAGAAGGCGATGACATAATGCAGTGTGCAATACGAAAATAGAAAAATCATGATACTTCCGACATTATCATAACTAATTTAAAATATTTTACAAATTATTAGAAAGTTTCTTATACTGCATTCAAATATATCAAAAGGAAAACAACATCGCTCTACAACCATTTTTTCCCACCTTTTAATAAAAAAAGTTTTCAAATCGTAAATTTTCGGATAGGTTAGCAATCAATTTATGAGTTTTTAAATATCGATATGAAGATTTCAAAAGATACGTTAATGATCGGTTTTTCGAAACAACAAGGATTTGAAACCGTAAGTGGTCCGCGTTGTTCAGTGGTGCTTGAAACAGCTTGATATGATCCCACGTCTTCACCAAAGTCCTTCCCGTCTCGCGCTCTTCTGACAACTTCCTTGGCTCAGCCTGGCTGTCGCGGAGGCTGCGCCGCCACCGTCGTTTTACGACCCTTGAATTTTAAAAGGCTGCTTACTCGTGATATAGTGGCTCAGGATTCCACGAAATCTGCATTCGCTAACTCTCTTGATACGTAAAGCTGAGTTTACACTTGGACGACTTCTCTTGTAATCTCCTTATTTTAATTTAGAGAAGCGTATTCCACACAACGTTTGACTTATTATTCTTATTCGCTTCGCATCAAAAATCATCTGGAGGTACTTATCCTCGCATGGTAGTCGAAGTATTCAGAAATGAACTATCTCTGGACTATAAAAGTCATCATTATTTGCTAAGAAAGAACATAATCTGAAATACTGAGATGTATCAGCAATCAACGTAAACACGTTTTTTTGCAATTTTATTGTTCTCAATGAGTGTTTACACTTTTTCTATTCGGAAATATATCCTTTACCTTCACTTCCTTCTTCTTCTTCTTCTTCTTCTTCTTCTTCTCCTTTACAATCAACCATTTCTCAGTAATTTTGACCCGTTTCTTTTGTCGCATTTTGATATTTAATTCAAACTCGTATGATCATATTTTCTCTCGATGATGTGTTTGTTGCTATTCCAAATAAGAAAATAAAAGACTTTGTCATTGATAATGGTTAAGCCATCCACAGTTGTTAATAATAATAATAATAATAATAATAATAATAATAATAATAATAATAATAATAATAATAATATTTAAGAAGAAAAAATATTGGCAATGACAACGCCTATTATTTTTTTCTCGTCCCTGCATGATGCCCGGCGAATACTCAATAATATCTTTCATTTTTCTCGTTATTCTCCTTAAGCGTCCGAACGTCTTCCTGTTTCAGAGAATGTTCTTATGGGTGTTACTCACTCTACAGTCTTCGCTCCCCTCCGCCATCCTGACTACCGTTCCCATCCCACCAACTCGGGGAATTCGTCCTTCGTCAGCCCTTCCTGAAACCACCTCTAGATGCTCGCGCCCTCATTATCCAGCGGCCCTCTGCCTCGCTCCAACCCTCCCCGCCGTCCATCTCCATTACCTCGCCGGTGCAGTTGGATTTATCTCGGGCGGCAGATTATAACGGTCCTGCAACTCGCGCAGTGGTCGCAGAGGATTAGAGACGGAGGAGCGAAGAGGCAGGGAAGAGAGGACGGAGGGGGGAGACGAAAAGTGGATAGGTAGGACGAGGGAGGGCAGTAGAGTAGGGGAAAGAGAATGCGTTTAGGGAAGGATGGAAATATAGAGTGAAGGGAGAGACGGAAGAAAACGAATTAGAGTAGAGAGATGGGAAAAAGAATGGGAGAGGATGGTGGAGGAAAGGTGGAGCCTGGCGGAACAGTAGGAAGAGGAAATGGGGAGCAAGCAACCTCTCGGCCGACTCCTTGGGTTGGCAGCCAACCAATGAAAGGCGTAGTTTGGCCGAGGCAAGTGGTTCCGGTTCCATGATCAAAGGTGAATACAGCTACTTTAAATAACATTACTCCTGTAGAAGTGTAACAATGCTTCCACAAAAAACGTTCGTTTGCCAACAGTAATCTCCCAATTATTTTGCTGGATCTCACTTGTTCAAACATAATTACACTTTTTACTCAATATATTATGTTACGTATTTTAATT